TTTGGCAGAGAAGCTCGAGGAGAAGGCTGCCGAATGGGCAATTGACTCCATTTATGCCTTGCGACCAAAGAATCCTCTTCTTGACATGTCCGACCTCCCAGCAGACTGGCAGGAAACACTCATGTCCATGGCTCGAGAGGACGATAAAGCGACGACCTTCCGACCAGAAGGTTCTGGACACGCAGCGGACAAACCCTCAACTGACCAACCCTAGGACAAGGAGGTCGGCCCTGTAGGGGTTGGATTAGGTCTTGCAGTCATGTTTTCTTTCCTACTATACTCCATAGTAATGAAATACATTTTTGCCTTTACAATTTTCTGTTCGCTTTATCATACATAAGTTCTTTCTGATCGTTTACATTCATTGAATCAAACATAACTTATTTGCATGAAAAGATCATACATAGAGATTGTTTACAAACGCTCAAGATAAAAACTTTACAAAGAAATGACTTACAAAAATCAGAAATTAATTTACAAGGAAAGCTGAGTTCGGAATTACTGATAGTATGGCCGAAGATGCTCAGCATTCCAGGCCCGAGGTACCTTTGAACCGTTTAGCCTTTTGAGATGATAAGTCCTCGATCTGATTACTTTATCAATGCGGTACGAACCTTCCCAGTTTGGCCCTAAAACTCCTGCACTTGGTTCTTTGGTCCCGAGGAGAACTTCTTTTAACATCAGGTCGCCGACCTGGAAGTCTCTTCGCCTAACCTTTGAATCAAAGAACTTTTTCGTGCGTTGCTGATAGGCTGCTATCCTTAGCGAAGCCTTGCTACGATGTTCTTCGATAAGGTCCAAGCTTGCCCTTATGAGTGCTTCGTTATCGGCCTCATTGTACAAGTCTCTCCGAAGTGAACCAGTTCCTACCTCGACGGGGATCATTGCTTCGCACCTGTATGCCAGTGAAAAGGGGGTTTCCGAGGTGGAGGTCCTTGGAGTTGTTCGGTATGCCCATAGGACTTCGGGGAGGTCGTCGGCCCAATTCTCTTAGCTGTGCCAAGTTTTGCCTTCAGAGTGTGCTTGATAGTTTTGTTGACAGCTTCAACTTGGCCATTTGCTTGCGGTCTTGCCACAGAGGCAAATTTCTTATGGATGCCCAGCTCGTCACAAAACTGTTTGAATTCCTCATTGTCGAACTGCTTTCCATTATCTGAAATAAGGGTGTGAGGAATTCCAAAACAGCACACAATATTCTTGAAAACAAAGTCCTTCAGCTTTCTGGTTGTGATCGCGGCTAGCGGTTCGGCTTCTACCCATTTAGTGAAGTAATCTACCGCGACCACGACATATTTGACTCCCCCTTTTCCAACTAGCAAGGGGCCAATGAGATCAATCCCCCACATGGAAAAAGGCCAGGGGCTAGTCATAGTCACCAGTTCGTGGGAGGAAGCTCGCGGTATGCTTGCGAACCGCTGACATTTATCACATTTCTTGACAAAGTCGTAAGCGTCGTCTTGAATTCGGGGCCAATAGTACCCTTGACGAACAACCTTGTTTGCAAGAGATCGTGCGGCAGTGTGATTACCGCAGATCCCTTCATGAATTTCCCTCATAATGTAGTCCGCTTCTTCGCTGGTTACACATCGAAGGAGGGGGGCACTGAATCCTCTCCTATACAGCTGGTCCCCGATGAGGGTATAGTAAGCGGATCTTGTTCGCAAGACCCTTGCCTCGACCTTGTCGTCCGGTAAGATCCCATTCTTGAGGTATAGAAAAATGGGAGTCATCCAGGAATCAGAATGAGTCACATTCACGGCTTGTTCGATCAGGCTGATACTTGGGGTTTCGAAGAGCCGAACAGGAATGCTATCTAGTGCCTCTGAGTCCAACGACGAGGCTATCCTTGCCAGGGTGTTCGCCACAGAGTTGTTGTCTCTGGGAATCTGAGTGATTTCAAAATGTTTGAATGGCTCAAGTGCGGCCTTAGCTTCTTTCAGATAACGGACCATGTTCTCTTCCTTGGCTTGATATTCCCCCAAAATTTGGTTGATGAACAGCATTGAATCGTTGTGCACACTGATCGCGGTCGCGCCCATTTCTCTAGCCAATGGCAACCCGGCAAGCAGAGCTTCATACTCAGCCTTGTTGTTGGTCGCTTTAAATCCGAACCGAAGAATGCCATGAATGCGGGCCCCTTCGGGGCTCAAAAGAAGGAGACTGGCACCGACCCTTTTTCTATTCGATGACCCGTCGACGTAGAGACTCCAAGTCGACAAGTTCTTAATATCTTCCTAAATGGCTTCGCCAGGCTGTTGCTCGATCGGAAGATAGGAAAATTCTGAGATGAAGTCAGCAACTGCCTGCCCGTTTATAATTGATCTCGGCTTATACTTAAGATCGAACTGACTTAATTCCATGGCCCATTTAAGTAGTTTACCCGATGCTTCTGGCTTTTGAAGGACTTGTCTGAATGGATAGTATAGGCGTGGAAGTAAGGTCGCAGCTTTCTAGAGGCGATTAGCAGGGCATAGGCTAATCATTCCATTTCTGGATATCGCATTTCGGCATCTGTCAGGCGCTTGCTCGCATAGTACACTGGCCACTACGCCTTTTCCTCTTCCCGAATCAAAGCTGCACTGGCTGCGAACTGAGAAACGGACAGGTACAGAAGTAGGATTTCTTGTGCTCGTAGCGAGGTTTCTTCCCTTTTCGCTAATCATCAGCGTCCCCTCTGCGATCAGCTCTTCTACTTTCCCCCCGACCGGACATACTGCTTGATGCGCCAGGGTCACGACGGCGTAGTGCCACCAACGAATTTTCTATTCGGAGGTATTTCTCCGCAAGGTTTTAGAATCCTGTGAGGGAGACATCGTCCTCAGCTTGTAACTCCTTCCACAGGTCGGTTTGTGGGCGAACCCCGGCTATAATGAGAGTCTGAACAGACTCTTCGGGAGTATGAGCCACTTTGTTGAGTTCCCTGTGGAAACAGTCAATGTAAGACTGGAGGGATTCATCCCTTTCTTGCCTTATGTTGCTAAGGTAGCTCAAAGGCATTGAAAACTTCCGATTCGCTTGAAAATGCCTGAGGAACGTCGTGCTTATCTGAGGCCACGAACTGACCGACCCTACTGGGAGCGACCTGAACCATTGTTTGGCATGGGAGGTCAATGTTACTGCTAGACAGCGGCATTTCGCCAAGTCTGAGACCTGGTGGAGCTCCATCAGGTCGTTAAATTCATACAGATGATCCTGCGGATCGGAGTTTCCATCAAACGCCCGCATGTCGGGCATCCTGAATCCTGGCGGGAGTGGAGCGGCTAACACTTCAGGAGAGAAGAGGGACGCAGATGCGACCTGTCCCTGCTCATTTTGCTGGGCCCTTAGCCTGTCTAGAGCTTGCTGCAGGTCTTCAATTAGCGGCAACGGAGCCGTTTGGGGGTTGCTTTCACCCACGCGAGTTCAGTTCTCGCAGTTACTATTGAGGAATGCCCGGAGGTCGGGCTCTTCTTCGCCTCAGCTGGCTGTTCCAGCCACTCTCGACACACGCTGACTAGAGGCGTGCGATGGCGATGAGAGGTACAGGGTATTCTCACGACCTTCGCAGTGGTAAGAACCGCCCCGCGAAGTGTGTGACCCTTTCGCACGGTGGCGACCAAGATTGACTTGCTGACGGTGATAAGAATCGACCCGTCCAGCACTTTTATGGGTACGTACCTACGACGTGGCGTGGGACAGCTTAGGCTGCGTCCTTTCATCGATTCTCAACGAGACTGGTATTCTGCTTGGGACGCGGTCGGTGTTTGTTGGCCCTTTGGAGCCCGTGGGCTTGCTTTTTGCCACTTGCTTACCCTTTCACCTTCGCGCTGCAGTGCTCGTGGCATGGGCTATTTCCCTTTGCCGTGCTTTCGCGCCATCTGCAGGCGTTTTTGGCGGTTGTACTGTCGCAGCTGACTTGGATGGCGCGCCTTGGTCCAAACGGTCCAACCTTTGGTTGACCGTCTGGAGAGTATTGTCAAACCTTTCTAGGTAGCTTCTTATAGCGGGGTCAAGCTGTGAGCTGGACGGGATGTCTCCCACATCATTCTGCGAGGCTGAAGGTTTTTTGGAAGAGGTATCCCCCTGAACTTGGGGGGAACCCTGAGTGCCTTGGTTGGTTTGCTCATGTTTTGGCTGGCGGGCCATTTGTTGCTGTAGGACCGGTACGTTGGAGACTCTCCTGATGAAGGATGAACACTAAATCAGGTCCTCCTTCTAGTGCCAAACTGTTGATGCGTGTTTTTGCACCAACGAAACGCACGTGCGAAACATTGTAGGGGCCAAGAAATCGCACGTGAAAGTAATGGATAAGAGAGAGTAAATGCAATGGAGACAGTTTTAAAGTGGTTCGGATGCTAAGGTAGCAAGTCCTACGTCCACTGATGTTTGAATTGATGGTAGGGGTCAGGTCGCTATTAGCTGATTAATTACACTCTCTTTTCTTAGCAATTGATACCTTGTATTATCATTGTAAAGTCAGATGCCTTGAGGCAATGATCACTAAATCTGCAAGTTGGTGGAATTATCCATGCAAATCCTTCTTTATGTCACATTGCCCACTTTCCAGAGTGATTTGCACGATTTAGAGCAGGGATTGGACATGTGGGAGCGCCACAGCCTCCTAACTAGCCTGACGCGCGTCCACTATCCTGACAGACACAGACGGTGGCTGTTCCAATGATCTGACTTCTGCGGACTAAAGGGTCCTGACGTCAGCCCTTATATTTTTAGGCATAACAGAAACCTAATACAAACATAAAAATGATTCAAAACAACATCAAATTTATATATATAAACGACGTTGAAAGACAATGGAAATTTGAGTAATGATTCCATGAATCTTTTTTCAGATTTGGAAATATTAATTTGACAATGTTCACAGGCTTCAGCATTAAGACAAAATTGATGATAAAATACCTATGATGTTTAAATTAAGCAATTAATATAACTTTTACATTTGAGTAAAAGCAACAATGATGAAGATCAAATATTTCATATCGTCTCAATCCTAGGATCTTCTTTTAAAATCTACACCAATATACAAAAAATAATGCCAAAGCAGCAGATTTAAATATGGTGGATAAGGGGATCCCATATTTTCCTTTCCTAAACAGACCTTCCACAAACGGCCAGAAAACTACCAACACAAAAACACTGCAGAAGAACTCTCCTAGGCCTGACCCCTGCTTCACCGATAGTGGTCGTGAGCCCAAAAAGCCAGTAGCCAATGCGGTTAGGTGCACCAGCACAACCGTTGTGACTGACACAAAAACCGGGGACTCATCGAAGATAAATTTATCTTCATCATCATCACCACCATCACTAGAAGTAGATTGACCTTTCTGTGTAATTTCAAAAACCATCTCAGATAATCCTATGAGCTTGAGTATCACGTTTATTACTCCAAACAACCACGCAGTTACAGTCACAACTCTTGCCATACGTTGGCCAACCCACCATGAATAAACTGGGAACCCAGTTCGAATGAACTCTGATAAAGTATACAGATTGTAGATCACAAAAGGAGCAATAATAAAATATATGCCCGGTTCTTGGACCTGCAAAATTTGGACACATTTTAAACAGTTAAAAAGAATGAATTTTTTTGTTACGTGTATGGATTTGTAAGCATACGACACCAATCAAGCTAATATTGAATGCAAATTGACAAGATGCATGGCCGATGTGACAGCTAGCACAATGAATGACAATATAAACATATCATAGACTGGTCACAACTTTTTATAATTCATTGAACGGTCGCCATAACTGGAAATTTGACAAAGTAGTGAACATCCAGGTCCAGCACGACCACTAAATGACTACGACAAGTCTGTACCAGTGTTCTGAAAACCAGACCGGATCAGATCGGTTCGATTGTGAGTCGACGATATCTCCAGTCTAGTATCTTTTAAAAACAGGTATTTTTAGTTAAATCGGATTGAGCCGCGGTTGGACCACTGGAATAGTGCCGAGTCGCGGTCCAATCGCGATCCAATCGCAACTCAATCCCGCCAGATTTCGACATTGTTCGACAGAGAAAATACCACCATTCGACTTGACGGCATCTCCACGACAAAACCAATCCATTTTCAGTGGCCGTCGTCCAACCTTCGTCGCTCGCCGTCCACCTAAAGTTCACGCTCGCCGTCAGACTTCCTTCTTGATTCCGGCAATTTCTGGCGCTGATGGAACTCCCTAACACCACCATCAGATTCGCCGGACCTATATATCAAAAGCCCCATGATTCCAAACTTCGATTGGCTGTTGATCGTTGCTGCCGCCACCACTCACCAGTTTCTTCGCGCGACAGGGGTGTTTTAGACAGATTTCAAACCTTAAGGGAGCATTATAGGGGTGTTTTTGATGAATTTCAAACATTTAGGGACTAAAAAATTTTACAGGATACGATCCAACCGACCGATCCAACCAGAAACCGGACCCTTGAACAGGTCATATTCTGGTCCAGTTTTCAGAACATTGGTCTGAATATCTTTGTGAATAAACATCTGATGCAAAAATTATTGAGCTGTTGCATTCAGAAAAGGACAGACGATGATAAGTCCACAGCCCTTACCTTGGGCAAGAAATTGGAGTCGGTGAGGATGCAATAGGCTGGAAGAATATCATAGCAAAGCTCAAAAATGGAACGTAAACCCCACACAAGCAACCACAAATACGCCAAGGACTGCCTGAATTGGAGCTTGCCTTTGAGAGTACCAATTATCGGATTGTGTTTGCTGAAAAAGATCTCAAACAGTCCTGTGGCCCATCTCTTTTGTTGGACCATCATTGCAGGCCCACCAGGTGCAGCACACCCCAGAAAGGCTGGAGGGTCTGGTGAGCAATACCCTGTTTTCCACCCTTTTTCATGGATGGTCAATCCTGCTAAGACATCTTCTACTGTAGATCCATATATCCACCCAAACTGATACACAATAACATCCATATATAATGTTAGATGTCACACCTTGGTAGTTGTTTGGACTTAAAAATTCAATTATGATAAACTAATGTGTTTATTTGCCCTAATGGATTGATGAAAATAAATACTCAATAAGAAGCTGTTCAAAATGTTTTCTCCTTACCTTTTTACCCCAGCCAGTACCGTACTCATAGCTACAACTTGCAACTTGGTGAGCTGCCTCAAGAGATTTAGACAGGTTGCTGGTAAAATAATCTGTATTCCCTTTCAAAGCATGAGCGGCTGATGTTATGAATTCCTTTGAATTTCCATATTCTTTTAGTAATTCATAATCATATGATTTTCCTGCAAATGAAGTCAGACATTTAAGAAAATATGTATTGTAGAAAAAATTTACCATACATTTTTTGGGGTGTGCGAAAGTTCAATATAGGTGAAAATTAGTCTAGCAAATTAAAGAGATGTATAGAGTAACCTGAATTTACATCTTTACCTTGATTTTCTACTTCATCCGGCCATAGACCATAAATAACTTTTCGTCTATGAAAGCATCCTGTACCTCCATAGAAAGGTCCTTGAATTCCCACTATTCCTTTCCCGACATACTATATAACATAAGCAAAACAGTACATAAATAATTTGTAATAGAGTTGGAATCTCGATCTACACGCTCAATTATTCTTAGGTAAGAGTTAAAAGAACAGAAAATTTTTCATTTGTATTTAAATAAAGAAAAATTACTCACTTCATGCAAAAGCAGCAAGTCCTCTGGTCTATCATAGAAAAATTGTGGAGACTGAACAAATCCACAGTCTCTTTCATTCTTGGAACCGAGCATGAGACACATTGCATGTCGAATAATCTGTGTGTTGTTGACAAACATGTCGCAGTCCAAATTAAGCATGAACGGAACATTTGTCATCAACCCGGACACTCTAGTCTGTTTGAGATAAAAAAAATTAGAAAATAGAATCATAAGATGCTAATTCAAAAATTGTGTGTATCAAGTTTGTGATTAATCTAGCCTAGAGTCAAAAAAACAACTTACAAGTACATTCATAGCTCCTGCTTTGTAATGATGGGGATGCTTTGGCCTCTTCTCTCTGGATATGAAAATTAAATGAGGCACCGCATCTGAGATACCCTCCTTGTTCTCCCATAGGACCTATAAAAGGATTAGTCTAGTTAATTGAATCTTTTGGTTCCAGAGAGGCTTAATCATCCATTTATATTTTAGTACTGGCATCAAGTCAATCCGATTAACCAAGTGCCTATGGAAGACGCAAAAATATGTTAAGTGGCATGGAATTGGCTATGCTACTTGAACAGTGGCTACCTTGACTATTGCTGAATGGTCTCGCACTTCAGTATTGGAGAAGATAGCCAACTCGCCAGTCAGACCAATGGGAAAAGGCTGGTGCGCTGCATTTTCTATACTTCTGCAAAGTTGCTCGTACTCTTCCTATAAAATTAGACATATAAAAAACTAAATAAATAAGATAATGCTATCAGACAATAACGACCAGTAGGCGTGCAACAGTTCGTTGTTTGTGTCTGTATTCATTTAGGATTATCGACATGAAAAAAAAATTATTGAGACTGAATATTATTGCACGAATATCTCGATAAAGTGAATTTCTTTTTAATAAAATATCTTTCCATTAGTATATGCCAAAACAGTGCAGGTTCACATGACACATAAAAATCGATTAGATGAGAATTTTCGTACGTAACCTTTCTTTTACCTTCATATTTTGCCATTCCTTTTGGAAATCCCTAGAATTTGAAATGGACGGTTTAGACTCATCCAAGAAGTATCGAAAGGGAGCTCTAACTTGAACATTGTACTTCTTACAGAATGGCACCCAAAGCTTGGCAAATTTAGATGCTGCAACGAGAGAGTACAAGATAATAGGTGAGCAGTCATCATCCGAGACATAGCAAGCCACTTTGTTAGCTGGATAATCAACTGCTAACACAGATAGTACTGTGTTCACTGTGAGGATAGGTGGCTCTAGCACAGGATCAGCCGTTGTTACAAACACGTCTACAGGTGGAAGTTCCGGCACCCTGTTGAGTTGAAACTAATATAAGAACGATATTAGAAATGAAATATATGTTGTGATTAATGAAGTTTATTTGTTACTGTTGCTGGAGGCGTTCGGGAATGTATAACATAGGAGTCATCTGGTGCAAACAATGAGAACCCAATTGAAAGTGAACCATAACTCGCATAAGAAAGCGAGAAACCAAGCAAGTCCATGATTGTTGAAAGATAGGAGACGAAAGAGAGGAACAAGATAGTGACATCTACACTCTTTGTATGTGTTTTTAGGAAAAACTTTTCAAATAGAGGCACATAAATTATTGGATTAGCCTGTCGAAGATGTAGTGTTGTTTTGGCGGCCGAGTGACCTTGTTAATGGCTGTGGAAGTTTATATAGTAGTAGTATCAAGTTTTTTTAGTATTGTTATTGTGTTAGGATATTAAAGTAGTTTGGGATTTACTGATTTACCCTTACCTGTATTATAAAAGGCTGTACGGTGACAGTTATACATTTTAACGAAAATTTCAGTCTTCTTCTTCACTTCCTCTGTTTCTTTTCATCTCACTAGGTTTACATTTCCTCTCTAATCAACTTGGTACCAAGGCCACTGACCAATGTGCAAATGGCCGATCCATCCACATTTTCTTCTTCCTTTGACAAAGCAAATAACGATTCAAGTCTCAAACACTCTTTTGATCAGTCAATTTCTCCAATCTTCTTCTTTCTCCTCTTCAACACTTCCGGTACTCACCAAAATTGACAAGAGATAACCACCGTTTCTGGAAATCACATTCTGTTTGCCGTTGGAGCTCAGACTCGAAGAACACCTCTTGGACTCGTATCATGTCCAGCACCCTTTGTTCGTGTTCAAGTGGATAGCTCAAGTTCAGAGGTTCACAAAAAACCTAGTTCAGAGTATTACTTTGGAAAAGAACTGATAAATTGCTGGTGAGTTGGTTTTATCTTCAATATCGAGTCTATGTTTTCTGCGATCTCTAGTGTCAGTTTGCAACCGAGATATGGCTGACCTTGAAAAGAATTTCTTACCGAATCGAAAGCTAAAACACTGCATGTTAAAGTCTATTGCAAAACACGAAAAAGGATGGTTTAAGTATGCATGCTTATTTCCTAAAGATGAAAAGTTATGCTGAGAGTTGATTGCTAGTGGTGTTATTATCACCGATGAAGAGTTGTTGAATTACATATTGGATGGTTTAGATTCTGAATATGATGCGGCAGTTGTTAACATAACGACTAGGCTTGAATCATGGTTGATCCGATAACTGTGCAAGAAGCTCAAATGTTATACAGAAGCTAGAACTTAGACTGGAGAAAGCTAATAGTACAATGAATTCCTTGGTTCAGAATGAATTTCATAGCAGTTCAGCTAATATTGCTAGTCTATCTACGAACAATGAACAGACGAAGTTACAATCTGTACCACATTTCTCTACTGATCTAGCTCCAACCTCACAATCCTCTAAGTTCAACCAATCTAGTAACCAGTCATACGCTGCACCTAATCAGAATTCAGTAGTGATGCCCCCTCTCAGAATCAATTCATGCCACCTAGAATCAATTCTTTACTTCACAATTTGCTGGAGGATATTCTGGTGGCAGAGGAAGAGGTCGTGTAGGAGGAAGAAACAGATTTATCTGTCAAGTGTGTGGTAAAACTGGTCATGGTCTTTGAACTGCTACCATAGTTTGATGTTAATTTCTCAGGAAACTCTTCAATGCTACGGACAATTTTATCCTCATGGATTTGCAAGAGCACTTGAACCTTATCATGGAGGGTTTTATCCTTCCATACCTCCTCAGCACTACTCACAAACTGCCAATGCAGGCCGTTGCCACCATTTCAGAGCCAGTTACCACCATTTCAGAATGTCTATCAAAATCAAACAACCCCATTTTCAACAACCTCTGAACTTCCTCTAGCAACACTGGCTTACTGTCTAATGTTGGCCTCAATAGTCTATACAGGTGTTTATGCTCAGTCTCAGACTTATGATCAGGCACACAATCAGACTCCAGCAGCCATTAACACATAGCCCCACCATCCACTGTAAGAGATGCTACTTGGTACATGGACTCTGAGCAACAGACCATTTTACCTCTGATTTTCCCAGCTGACAACAAGCTCCAATTACACAGGAGGAGAACACTTCAGGTTGGCATGGTGAGTTGCTAACTATTTCACATACTGGTTCTGCTATATTAGCCTGTTCATAAGGAATTTGTATCTTGAAATGTTTTGTTTGTTCCTAATATTACCAAAAATTTACTTAGTGTTTCCAAATTAACTGAGATAATGATGTCTTGGTTGAATTTTTCAATGATCATTGTGTTGTTAAGGACAAATCCTCCACAACACCCTTCTCCAAGGAGTTCTTAAAGCTGGTCTGTACCAACTTCAAACTCCAGTTTGTCCTACTTCCATTGCAGCTTTGTCTCCCTTGTTGTCCTCTTCACACAATGTTCAACATCATAGCACCAGCTCTGCCTCATTTCCTTGCTCTTCCAATCAAGGTCTTCTTGATTTATCTCAACACATCACCTTTGATTTCTCCAACTCTCAATAATTGTAATGAAGATGTGTACGTTCATAGGGGCAAAAATTGTAGAGAATACACTGATCTTGCCATGTATTCTAGTTTGTCTATTCCAAGCAATGTACCCTCTTTTGATGTAGCACCTAATAAATGAAAGTACTGTTTTGCAATCTTCTGTTCTTGACAAGGTTGTTACCACTAGTTAGATAGTTTTCAATCTTTTCCTGTCCAAAAACTGACATTATGATATGGCATAAAGGCTGGTCATCCTAACTTCTTAGTCCTACTAAAATTCTTAAAAATTTGGAGATCCCCTTTCACACAAAACTGACCTCACATTTTGTACAGCCTGCCAATATGGTAAATTGCATCAATCTACCTATCCAAAATCTACCTTTCAAGCCTCTAAACCTCTCAAACTTGTATACTCGGACCTTTGGGGACCTTCACCTATTCCTTCACCTGAAGGTTTAAATACTACATCCAATTTTAGATGATCATACAAGATTCACCTGGATTTTTCCTCTGAAAACCAAATCTGAAACTTACACCATCTTCACTTAATTTCATAACTTGTTGAGAAACAATTTGACACCTCCTTAAAATGTGTTCAAACTGATTGGGGGGTGATATAGGAGTCTAGTTCCTTATTTCAAGCCAATGGTATCTTGTTTAGGCATCCCTGTCCACACACCCACCTCAACAAATGGGAGGGTAGAGAGGAACATAGACAACTAGTTGAACAAGGATTAACTCTTCTTGCACAAGCTGGCATGCCATTAAAATTTTTGGTGGTATGCATTCCAAACAGCTGCCTATCTTACAACAGACTTCCCACACAGGTTTTGAACAATTTTTCACCCTTTCAAAGACTGTTTCATACTGTCCCTAATTACTCTGCCATTAGAGTGTTTGGTTTGTGTGTTTATAAAAAAAAAAAAAAAAAAAAAAAAATCATTAAAAAAAAAAAATATAAAAAAAAATAAAAAAAAACATAATACAAAAACAAAAAAATATGAAATCAAACCACAAAAGAAAAATCAAAAAATAAACATACATATTTAAAAAAATAAAAAAAAAAAAAAAAAAAAAAAAAATAAAAAATATAAATATAAATCAAAATTTAAAAAAATCATATAAAAAAACAAGCAAAAAAAAAAAAAATAAAAAAATAAAAAAAAAAAAAAAAAACCAAAAAAATAAAATATTAAATAAGAAAATACAAAAAAAAAAAAAAAAAAATGTAAAAGAATATTAAAAAAAATTATATTAAAAACAAACACAAACAAAAAAAACCAAAAAATTAAATAAATAAATAAAAACTTTTAATAAAAAAAAATAAAAAAAAAAAAATAATAAAAAAAAAAAAAAAAAAAAAAAAACATAAAAATCACTAAAACAAAATAAAAAAAAAAAAAAAAAAAATAATTAAAAAATAAAAAAAATACAAAAAAAAAATAAAAAACCAAAAAAAAATAAAAAAAAAAAAACGCATAAAAAAAAAAAAAAATAAAAAAAAAAAAAAACTAAAAATAAAAAAATAATTAAAAAAAAAAAAAAAAAAAAAAAAAAAAAAAAAAACAATTAAATAAAAGAACCACCAAAAAACATAAAAAACAATAAAACAAAAAAAAAATTAAATACAAAAAAAAAAATTAAAAAAAAAAAAAAAATATAAAAAAAAAAACAAAAAATAAAAAATTACAAAATAAAAAAACAAATAATTCAAAAACAAAAAAAACAACAACTAAAAAAAAAAAAAAAATAAAAAAAAAAAAAAAAAAATAAAATATAAATACAAAAAATCAAAAATTTATTCATAAAAAAAACTAAAACAAATAATAAATGCACAACAAAAAAAACTAAACTACAACTAAAAAAAATAAAAAAAAAAACAAAATAAAAACCAAAAAAAAGAAACAAAAAAATAACTAAAAAAAAATAAAAACAAAACACGTATCCTAAATATTAACCCGCAACCAAAAATCCTCAAAACAAAATCAACGTTTTATATAAAAATAATAAACCACCCCTACAAAAATTTCAACAACACACCAACCACAACCTCTTAACCCAAAAACTTTTCATAAACCAACATAAACATTCCACCCAATTTCCAAACCCAAATTACCACAAACCAATAACTACAAACAAAACACTCAGCCCCCCTTCATAAAAACAACCAAAAAAAAAATGTACCAAAAACCACCAATCAAACCAAAAAAAAAAAACAAAACACGAATACCATACATAAAAAACATAAAAAACCACAAACTCCCACACAAACTACAACCAAAACACCCCCAAAACCACAATACACAAACAACAAAAATTTAAAAAAACAATCAACAAAAACAATACATACCACCATCTTAACAAAACCATCCACTATAAAACTATCCCCCACCAACACCCACCCCCCCACCCTCCCCCCCCCTTACACACACCTCAAAAACGCCCACCACCAAAAAATCAATACACCACAATATAAACCCAACACTCCCCATCCCTCCAACCTACATACCCCCCCCACCCACCAACCCACCATAAAACAAACCCCAAAAACAAACACGCCCTTTCCTTAGACCCTATCCACTCACAGTTTAACTTCACACTGTCAAGTGTACTTTCATTGGTTATCGTCTCATCATAAAGGGTTGGTGCTTAGCTCCTTCAGGCAGAATTTATACTTTTCAAGGTGTCAAGTTTGATGAGTCGATTTTCCATTCAGAACATTACCAATTCAGCTCCAGTTTCACCTATTATATCATCCAGTTCTGAGTCATTCCAACCCACTGTTTCATCCTGCATGTACTACTGCGTACTTAATTCTGCTCCTCTATTACCTCCAACCTCCACTGTCATCAACACATGATCATTGGACAAATCAACGGATACATTCCCCAGTTTCATCTCAGTCCAGTTCACTTCAGACTTCCATACCCTGTCAGCCTAT